GAAGAATATTGAATTTTCTGAACAAACCAACAACTCGCGTCGCGCACACTGGAGTTATTGCTGTGGTGTCAATCTCCATTGTGCTGTATGGCACCGTGCTCTGGTGAGTCAACCTTCAGTGGATAATAGCACCTATATTTTCGCTTCCGTTCGCTTACCTGTTATGGTATTCTGCAAATGCATGTCCTCTGATTCATTCCTATGAGACTCTGAACGCGACATTTTCCGCAACCGATATATATAATTCCTTCGGTTAAAGGTTTTCTGGTGGTGTGTTATATCTACGGATTCGCCGACCCGTGGTAGCTGCTGCTAACCCACTCTAGTGCCTAGTGCCGGAGAAAAAAGACTCACAGAAGGGAACACAACCGCTATATTCCGAACAAACGAGTGCGAGAGCGTGAGTGCGTGTGAGTGCGCGAGCAAAATTTACAACGGCCCCACGTTATTCAAAAGGGGCTTTCTGACACTGACCCAGGATGTCTGTTGGGCGTTAGTGAACATCCATCAACATCGACCGTGTCTCTATAAAATGCCTGAACGCTGATCACATTCGGTCTTACTTCCGTGGCGTGCAAGAACACTCATCGGCTTTTGCTGAATTGATTGGATGATTGACTAGCCTGGATGGTTGCCGGCTTTCCTGTTGAGATTTTGGTGGAGCAGTAGGTTCCGGGTTTTCTGAGGTTACTTTCAGGAATCTGACCTCCCCGATATGGTGCCTACGCAAACTCCGCGAGGCGAATACACATCAATATTTCTGTGAAGGAATCGGGCCGATTGCTGGTTGCTTCCCCAAACAGATGTGCTGCATTATTTGAATAATTAGTCGAGGTAGCTTCACTCAAAGCTATAGATGAAATACAACACTATAAACCTAGTGGGCATGGCATGGAATTGATTGGATTGGTGGGTGATAAAAATGATAAAAAGGCCAGTTATTCACCGTTGACTAGTCTGAAAACTGATAATCTTAACAGAATCACGTATTTTTTGGTGGATAGTGTAAGATACAGTGGGCTGCATAGCAGAAAACTGACTGAAGGGGACTGTCAGTTTCTGGTTAGTAAAATCACAATGTGTGGAACCATGTCAGCCTATTTAGGTGGAAATCTCACAAAGACGTTGTTGCAACAGGTTTTCGCATGCTGTATACTCAGACGAACTGCTTCGAATGATCATCCTTCAGTAATGTGTAGTTTGCCATGGGGAATATCCTCTACTCTTAAGCTCTTCTGTGGAGTAGATTTTTCTTGCTCTGATCTACAAGGTTCTAACAAAAGCATGCTTACAAGCTAGAAGTGAAGGTCCTGATGTTTAAAATAGCTTGGCTACCCCAAACTGCTTTTCCACTAACAGTGGAAAACGATGGGTTATTTAGAAGACCCTTGAATAATATGTCCAAAAACCTAAGCTACGGCTCAGCGCTTTTTTAAAACACGGATACATTAGAGAGATCAAAAACAAGTCGAAATGTTCTTGTGGAGTGAATATTAGGTCAGTGTCAACTTAGTACTATCAGGAGCCTTATTTTCCATCATAGCTAAGCTGACCAACAAATGTGGGGCTTTAACGACTATTCGTGAAGAGATGACGTAAGCCAACCTAGAATTGAATTTAAAGTCAGTTGATTGCGACCAACTAACTTTTCTGTCGCTCGCAACAATTATTCATTTAGTCTTATTGTTCTTACGTCTCCAAGCGCTGCAAACTTTAGCGGTCTCATGAAGAGGTGTTCTGAGGACAATACAATGAGATACCGTTTCTTCCTGATCCGTGAAAGAAGTTGGCAGATAGAAGCAATATATCTTGCCAAATTTCAAGTTAAGCACTCTGTTGATGGGACACTGATAGTCGAATGACAAGGGGTGAACCCTTTGTAATGCATGAGGTTTGAACATGTGGGATGCGCGTTGCTTGTCGCTCCCAAACAGGAAAAAACATTGCTTCCCAGCTTTTTAGAATAGATTGAACATGCTGAGAATGTCGTGACCAGAAGAAAACGGCTTGGTTCTGACGTCACATCAATGCATTTTACGTGGTTTTCATCGAATAGGTCCGCAGGTCATCCAACCAATGATGTGCGAAAACCGTTCAACCACACATTCTGTTGTGTTACTTAACTCAAGCTTTAGTTTTCTGCCTTCCGAGATCAACATCATACACTTACAATTTGTGTTACTCTGAACTTTCTGCACCGGTGAATTTCTCCCCCTGGGATTGTGCTGTAACAAGTCGCTAACGAAAACACGAGGTTAATTGTAACCAAATGTACGTGTTTCCTCAACAATACCTGAAGTCGTTGAGCAAAAATGCACGGTGGTAAACAGTATACTCATAAGGTATGGGAGAAACGCTTTTACCGGGCAGTCTTAATGAGTATGATAGCCTTATTACTGAAGGTTCGAACGATATGAATTTTGGATAACTCAGTTGCAATGTGGCATCATCAGATTATAAGAGTGGTAATGGTATTCTTCAGGCACAATGTTTTCTTTTCTGGGTCCTCTGGATTCGGGTCACCTTCCTCGCATTCAGATGCCTTGACATAGGAGAAATAGGTACCAGGTTTTTCAGAACTACACTCATTGGCAAATCAATTTGGTTTTTACGAGAGACTCAACTGAATCTCTCGTTTATGCTGTTCTACAACTGAATGTGCTGCACACAGGCCGCCTCATGTTTCAGTTGGCACGATATTCGAGAACAACACAAACGAGAGATTCAGTTGAGTCTCTTGTGAAAACCAAATTGATTTGCAAGTGAGTGTATTTCTCACAAACAGTGCAATTTGGATTCAGGTAGAACATAAAGTTGATGGAAACTCGGGGACTCCGCCTACCTGATGAGCCCCAAGAAGAGCGAAACCGGTCGTGGGCTTTCGAAGAGTTTTCAGCAACCTTGTGAGTAGTTTCCTTCATGAAAATAGATACCAGCTTATTTGTTTGAAAAATATTTCCGCTAGCTTTATCGGAGCAAATGCCCTAAAATTATGTCTATGCACTTGCCTGCTCAGTAAGCCACACGGGCTTGAGAAGAGCGTGATCTAAAGCCGTATGTTATTTCAGGGAGACTTGGGCTGTCTAGTATTATCTGATTGAGTTTGGATAACAGAAAAGCGCCTGTTTTTCACTTTTATCCTGGACGTATTTGACTGAGACAATTGGAAAAAACGGATTTATAAAAAGTAGCTCATCTGATATGTGAGGCGTCCCTCAATGTGTTTCTTAGTGCTTTTGGGACAGTCTGATCCATTTTCAAATTCATATGTTGCTCGTAAATATTTCCAAACGGACCAAAGTTCAGTTCCCTCAAAATAAATGGTGTTTTTTTAAAGCAGCTAACATCCCTCATACACCAGTGTGTTTGCTGACGTGCCCCACAAAATGTCCACTACAAGAAACGTCCGTACTCTCAACGTTTCCTGTCTCCGATAGTTTCGCTTTTGAACATGCATCTTAAACAATGCTCTGTCTCGGTTACATGGCATTCGTTCGCCTGGGAATCACAGATACTTAGGCGATTAGCTGTCCAACGACTCCAAAACTGTAAACGCACAGTGTACTTGTCGGGATTTTGTGGAATGAACGCGAGAAATAACCTTTTTTCGGGATTGTGAAACGGTTCACGTCTCTTTGGAGGTAATCAAAATTTGAACCAACCCGTTACTCTTTTCTCAAAACCAGGCTGCCCTTGAGGATGACAGTACACTCTACCAAACTTGGTATTAGCCCATCTGTGCCGAATTCCTGCTTAAGTGTTTTTTAGTATTGTCGAGGTAATATGTACAATATGACAAATACTGAATTAGTTTCCAAGTTCCTGTTTTTCAAACAACTGGACCCTAGCGCATATATTAGTTGAACATTTCTTTTTCAGACGCTCCAGAAAATGTTCAGTCAGATGAAGGTGTCAAATGTTTTTCTCTTTCACTTTATTCTAACACAGGTCACGTCGTGCATTGGATCTGTACTGCAGGAACCCAATGCGGTATGTTCCAATTCCCACAGTCTGCAGTGTTCATCATGCGATAATGGTATGCTGTTTTAAAAGCTAATGAAAGCGAGTGAGAAATGACACATCTTTGGTTGCGTACAAGTTTAAGTGGCTAGACAAAATCCGTGCATTTTACGGCTCGTAATTTATTCCCTCTCAGCTGAGTTCCGTTCGGTTTTTGACTTCAGTCTATCTAATCAAAGGCCTTAACGAAACAATTCCCTCTCTAAAAGGACCACAGGTCGAGGAATAAGAATATTTGAGATTAAGCTATTCAACTCTGCTTAGCACGAAAACTTTCTCATGCAGGAATTTAGTTGTATCCTCAAACCAGTGATAGAGTCTGTTAGAAATACCATCAGGAACACTCGTGATCTATGCACAGGCGTTCAGCTTTCTGGATCACAGCATGCGGCTCCGAAGTGGCAGCAGTCTTATGGGTAATATGTGGATCTTTGGCCGTGTATTCATCTATGCGAAAACACGTTTGTGTAGAAGTCGCTAGACATCATTTTGGGTTTACTGAGGGACAAGTTTGTCACTTTTTGGTTCGTCGATTCCATTTTATCGAATATCTAGTGAAGGATTATGGCAAGGCAATAAAAATCGATTACAGTACATGAGTGCACAAGCTTCTGGTAACACAAATAGATCATCCAAATGTAGATACCTGTTGTTATGCTGTCCAACATATTATGCTTACGTCATCACATCGTTCTCAGATCATTAATTGTATCTCCAAGATTACGACGACATTCAAAATGCCGGGATTTTCTCAAAGCAATGGCCCTCTGGCATCATCACAAAACAAAACGTTTGCGTTCCATTAATTGCTTAAATATCCCCACAGTGACGAACATTAATGTTTTCGGGATCTCGTCATCAGGTCAGTACACATCTAATGGTTAAAATAGAAGCGAAAAATGAGATACGCAGCGAAGATTGGTTAGTGAAATGCAAAACGTGAGGACACGAACGATTGGTTGTCTGAGTCCCCCCACCCCATGTCGCGACTAGCTGGATGCTGTGAGACAATCAAGAGGGCTGTTGAGTGACTTGGCCGGTTAATTTGTGTCACACGACCAAGGCAAACTCAGCGTTCGTACGAAACGCTTTTGACAGCACAGTGCCGGGTTTCGCAGGCGCATTGCGACTGTCTCGGCTGTAGTCAAGCAATGCCGTTGAATAGATACTGGTAGTGTATTTGGCACACGGTAAATGATTTGAAATGACTCATTTGGCATGACCACGTGCCCGGTGTCAATTAGGTGAGATGCAATTGAGCTTCTGGCTGAACTGTTGAGGTTAGTGGTATTCCGGTAAGAGAGATGCTTGCGTATCCTCTTAGAAAGTTGTCGTGTCGTGAGCCCAACATACTCCGCTGAACAACAGCAGGAGAAATAATACAATCATATTATGGGTGAGGACTGGCATCTTGTCTTTGAGGTTTAATTTGAGCAAAGGGTTGGTTGTAAACCAAGACCGCAGAGTTCCAACAGGAGACTGCGTTGTAAGGATTGGAACAAGCGGCGATTGACTATGTCCGCCAACAGGTCGCTTTTATACGGTAAACGTTGACCGTTACAAATAATGACAGATCAACGTAGTTTGAGCTGTGGAGGGTAAGTTCACGAGATTAAAACTACTTTATCAAATGCATGCAGTCCGACAGGGTAGGATCGAAGTAGTAAAAACAAATTCAAACTGCACATTGTTCTCTGGCGTTTAAAGCGACTCATTGGTGCGATTGCGTCCTAACGACCTAAGCACATGCCCTCAATGAATCCTTCAAATAGGGACCATTGATCACAATTCACTACAAGCTCTTCTACGTTAAGTACGATTTTGTTGGTGATGTCACCTAATGGACGCTAGTTCCAAGAGCGTTTGATATCCGTTATATTGTTAATGGTTCTTCCTGAAAACCAAGAAAATGGTGATCATGTATCAGCTGTTTCGTGTAAAGGCAGTATGGGTACTGGTGAATTCTGTACAACTTGCAGTGGTATTTATTCTGGGCATCTAAGAATATATACTTTTTCCAGTTACACTGTCACCTCATTATGGGTTCCTTGGTAGCCCCACCGTGCTCACTGTCGTCGAAAGGCCCTAAGTATTGCACTAAAATGGTTTTGTCCCCTCAAAAACAGAAGAGAAAAGGTTTTTCTGGAACTCAATCTTGGAATGCAAGTTCTGCTGCTTGCCCGAACCCTAGTACAGCTTCATGCCATTTCAGTAATGTGGAAAAGAAACTGTGTGGTAAGTTCTTCCAGCCGATTAGTTCCATTTTAATATGAACAGACTTCTTCAGTATGAACCGTTTGAAACTACTGTTTTAGAAGCTAGTTTTTCCTTCCATTTAATAAAATCACCCTTATGATGTCTCTTGTTAAAAAGATGCATTATTCATGAATTAAACGTATCAAACATGACAAAGCTGTACCTTTGACCTTAGACAAGCAGGTAGGAATTATTGAATAACCTTAGGACAAACCTGATCGCCGATAGACACAGTTCTCTGCCGCATTGGTTCTTCTCCTGAAACTCACTCGCATCTGAAAACCAGATGAGACAGAGAAGAGGTAAAATACTCTTCAGCAAGTTGCAATGATGCTAACGGAAGATGTGCGAAGGAAACCTAACCGAGTCCGTGATTTCCGATATCGGTTATCTAACAAGTCTTTCATCGCGCGGCAATTTCTGATGGCGGTCATGTTCAAGTCCTTCTCACTGTACCGAGGTAGTTAGATCTGGCGAAAAATACACTCATATTACACGTATTAATTAACGTAAAGACCTTTTGGCTTGTTTTTCGACGGCCTTGTAAAAGTCGTCACATCTCAAGATCGTGTTCAGGAAAGCAGCGTCGACAACCTGCCACTCGCCGTTTTATGTGTGGAGGAATTGTATCGCTGATTTTGAATGTATCTGTTTCTTAACTGCTCGTGATAACGCTTCTTAGTCTAGTTCGAGTTCTAGTAACCCTCAGATGCAGAGCAGAAAACACATTTTCTGGGCTTTACTCATAATGCAAGTGCACGAATATAGGGATGACGTGATTCTGAGTCAGCTTAACGTAACAAGTATTCAGCCTTTTGTAAGTCAGACAACAGGAGAGATCCTAATGGGCTTGTTGCAAAGATGGTAGAATGATGATAAGTCACCAAGACTTTGTCAGTATTCCACGTGGCATCTCCAACTATGCCCAAGGAGGTCAACTTATCTGGCAACCGGAAAACCATCGAAGCTCGTAAAGAAGAAAATTGTAAATATGGTGCGCGAAATACTTCTGAGGACAGTAAAATGAGTGTGGCCGGTGAGATCAGCATGCATGTCATTCTGGATCCGTAAAAGTGCACATCAGTCGTACGTTTCCGGTTCACACAACCAGCTCCAACAGCCTCCTTAAACTGGATGAACTAGGATTGTAATTCCATGTCGAACTTAGCCGTTTACATTTCGTGCCCTCCGATTTTATCGACTTCTTTGTATTCCACGTGATACTTCACTATTTCAAAAAGACGGGTCTGATAGTCGAATAGAAGGTCCCAATTTCTAGAGGAATCTTGAGCGTATACTGGCAAGTTCACAGCTCTATACATTTGGTCACTCCTGTGCAGTTTACCAGGAATCACACGGATTTGATTGTTTGCATTCCGGATTCGATGCACCTATGTTGATGTAAATCTGAGGTCTATTCATAATGCACTACTCATAAGAATGCTGAAAATTCGACAGCCCACGACTGGTTTCACCCTTCTTGAGATTTATCAGGTAGGCGTCGTGGCCTGTCGACGAATTTTCAGCAACCCTATAAGTAATGCATCACGATATCTCAAATATCATAGCGACTGAAACATGGGGCGGCCTGGTGCAGCACGTTCAGTTGCCTGGAGACATCATAAACGAGAGATTCAGCTGCGTTCCAAATTAGCTTGCAGATGAGCGTATTTCGCTAAATCTGACCTAGTTTTTGAAAAGGTATGATACTGTCTCCGAACCACAGGTGAGTTGGATTGCTAGAAATTATTCGGGCACTATTTTACGGGTATCTGATGCGGTTACTTTGTGAAACAAATTATAGAGATTCAGATACTGCAATTGGTTTCAGTGATGTACAACCATAACCCTGTAACGTATACACAAGTGTAACTCGTGATTTTCAGGTATCAGTTTCAACGGACACTAGCTGGTTCGATTAGTATCTATGGGGCGAATGTTCTACATAAGTGAAGGAGACAAAACCTGAGAAGACCAATGTATTTCATGAAATTCACCACGTTCGAAATGAATGGGTGTTCACGACAGATTGAACCAACTCACAGCTGAGATTCAACCTGAATATACTACGCAAGGGCCGCTTCATGTTTCACTTGCCTGGATACGCAACATAAAGTACATTTTCTTCGCACAATTCACTAATTTTGAGGTTGCAGCAGACGTCGACAGCTGCTTGGATATTTCGATCTCTTTGATTTTCAACAAGTGCGGGCGTATCCCAGTTTTCAGCGGCCTCGTGTTCACCATAAGCACTGAGTTGATAGCGTTGGTTGAGACGCACTCGTTCGCAAATTATTTTGGTTTTATTGAATGGTTTGATCAACTCCCCTCTGCGATTGACTTTTCAACAAAATGACATACATTTCTGACTTACTTGAAACTAGTTTCCTGGGACGGTTCAACACGTCCTTCAGCATCTTCTGAATGTCTTCAACGTACTCGGTGGAACGGTTGTATTCGTTGCAAACAGAGTGCATAGAATACAGAAGATTATCTGGAAAATATCTCTGGCTGTTTACGGTGAGTTGTTTTGTGGTTTCATTCATTTGTCAGGCCACGACCTTCCGATCCAGAGCGGCTCCGAAACAAGAGCAATGACAAACTGGCAGGGTTGTCCAAATTGAACAGATGACTTCCTAAAGGACAAAACAGGCCCCCATTGTTGAGACCATAGTTCTTAACCCTTTAGTTGCTTGTTTTATCCGGTCTAGTTACCCAATGAACTGAGTGCCGTTCGTGAGAAGAATCAGTGTCAAGTAAAATCGGTCGCTTAAACAGGATCATTTCTCCAGAGGACTTCCGGTTTTAGACGCAAATGCATTTTCCCTAAAACAGACTAAATGCAACAATCCTCACAGAGTTACTGGCGTTGCTTAACTCTTCAGGATCAGCAAGTTCGTTCCGTGCTCGTATTTACCTTCTTTAGATTGAGGAGTACCATATGAAAACGACGCTGGTGATCCAAATGATCCCTGCGCGAACACCTCTTAAAGTTTCACAAAAGTTCAGAGATTTTGTGGTCAGAGTGCCACAATCAGACAAAATACAATCTGTTGACTAATATTCCACTGTTCTCAGCTGAGTACTCGCCAGTATCAGTTGTCTGGCTAAAGTGTTATAAGAAGGTGGAAAGGTCTCATTGAGAGCCCACATCTGGATGAAGAGCAGCAGAATGATACTACCAATTTACTGGATCTTTCAGAACAACACGGCCTTACTTCACGGGTAACTGATGATTGGTGATGCTTCTGTGCGACGCGGCAACATAAGTGGGAGTAGGATATAAACATTCATCGCTAAGTGACATCCAGTTAAGTCCGAGGTGCCAATGGTCTGTTCAGAAGACGTTGGTGAAGTTTGCGCAATCTCAGAAGAACATATCAATTTGTGATGAGTAGTGTTTGCACGCACTGATGTCCACTACTGGAATTTCCCCAAAGTTACTCTACCTGTGAGCAACGTTGTCATTATGCAGTAAGAGGCTCGAGATGAGGTTTTCTCCTTGTGTTTTCACCTTCACAAATTCCACTGCACTTGCAAGAACATACAAAACCAACTTTCTATAAAACGCGCTTAATTTACTCTTGTGGGTTTTTGACCCGGGCCAAGGAAGTCATTGAATCTCAACACGATTGGACTGTTAGCTCTTAGATGGATAAGTTCTCTTGAGAGTTTGTGAGGTATGTTACGCTGAACGGCCATCGGTTACGTTCAGTATTTGGGGACAGCAGGTAAAACAATGTGCCTTACTTCAGTAAGAATTTAACTAAATTCATTCAGAGTTCTTATTAGCTCTGAGAACAATGCGCAATCTGTTGTGATAGTTAATCTCAGTTCAGATTTGAGCACACCTCACAGACTGTCCCAACACAACACGGGGAGAATCAGCCCTTTCTGTACCACAGTATTAGGCCCAAACATATTTCAAACTGGCTGCCTGCAAGTGCTTTCTATTTTCTTTTTCTTTTTTCATTTACTCTATTTATTTATCCATGGGGAAAGGTTAAGTAACAAGTGAGCTTTCGAAGTCATGCTTATCTTGAGACAACCGGAAATCACAGTCGCTCACACTTACTATCATGAACTAATCATAATATTAGTTCAATATAACAACGTAAAGTCCCAGAATGAAAGACTCACGAATTACTCCGGATAGGCCCGGTAAACAATCGTCTAATTTACTGCTAGGCAACACTTCACTCCTGAAACAAAAGCTCAAGCAAGCCCAATGAATAAGTTAGAAGAATGACCCGGTTTTAAGGGAGACGGAGAACTAGCCATTGAGACTTCTTACGAACACTTGGTTTAATCAATACAGAAAGTTATTCACGAGTCCTTCTGTAAGTGCTCTTTTTGATAACTAACGCTTTCTACAGATGGGTCAGGGGGAACTTCTCAAGTGAAATCAGGAATTTTAGGTTACGCTTTTGCGGTCATTGTTACCCTAATGTAGAGTATACCTCTTGGGTGTCATCCACGGGCTTTGTGGATTCTTACTAGGTCAAACGGATTGGCGCACGTGAGGCCAAGTAAAAGTGACTCTGTTTCTGTTTTATGCGTTAGACCCAGACCACTATGCTGACGACCATTCACCATCACCATGACCTCAAAATCGCGCTCTACCCGACTGCCAGTTCTACACGATCTACCGTATTCACACTGATATGCTTGGTTACTTCCACTCCCTAGGTCGCTAGCCGCCGTTGTGTGAATCATAATCGTCTCTATATTTCCACAGAGCTTAAGTTTGTGTAAACCGTGTTATTGCACAGTATTCATTTACGCTTTTGTGGGTTGTTTATGCACAGCTTGTGCTCACCGATTGTGGTGTGCGCATCCCCGGTTGTTTGGCTTATATGGACCGTGGTGCATACGATATATTTGATTTTGTGCACAAGACCCACGTTTCAATCAAACGCAGGCTTTTTTTGAATAGCTAATCTAATGTAAATCATACCCAACAGCTACTCAATGAGTTCAGACGCCCTTGTTTTGTGTGACATGACTGCTGCTCCGATCTACTGAATTTTTGGATTCTGGTGCTGGGGCCGATATCCACTTTATTCGCCACGAAATTAAATTGATCGAGCATCCGTCTTCTCATTGATTTACCCTAAATTATACTGTTGTTTAGTTGAACCCCTGTGTGCACAGCATGTGCCACCCTCTGTTGCATAGTTCAGGACCTACCGAGTGTCCCCTGGTTTCTGCTGAACGGTAATAAACGTATTATTGTTTACCGAACCTCTCAGAAAAATGACTCCACTCACTCAGTTCTCGGCATGTTTCACTTGAATGCAAATGAATGATTTTTCTCGACAACTGTTATTATTTGGAGTTACTAAAAAGGCGTGGGTGAATAGTTCAATCAATAACGTCTTCCTCCAAACAGTGTTGTACCATGTTGAGTATGAACCAGTCAGGTTTCTCGAGTGTGACGATGTTCTCTTGTGTCTTAGTGATGTCCCGGATGCATCCAGCGAGCACCGGTGATGTATCACTGACAGGTCTCTCTCACGAATCATTTGCTCGGGATTCAACTCCTGCTATAGACTAGAATATGTACATCTGGGAAGCTATGACTGATGTCAGTTCAGCGCCCCTTCTCTTGAATAAGAACTAATCCGAATACTTGTGGCAGAACAGAGTGCGTGTTCAAACTATAGTGAGGCTAATAGAAACTGAGTGAATTTAGTAGCCTCTTTGGTAATCTGGTTGATCTCTTGTCTCTTTTTACACGATAGACAGGTTAGAAAAATTTTACCACCCAGTTATCTATCGTGAACATCTCTTAACCCTCATGGAATTCCTAATCTTAATTTGGATGAAATTTTGTTAGTTCATAGAACAAAACGTGTCTAGTGTTCATCTGGTCTCCTAAGGCGAACGTAACAAGAAGGGCCATGCATTGCTCCAGAGGGGAGCACAGGACTGTGTTAATGTTACCACCCACTCTAGAACCTTGCTTCATAATAGCAACCTGGGTGACATTTGAACCTAATCAGATTACCTGCTGATTGGGTGGACAGGCGGACTTTGAACGCTTCTATAGAACAGCAAATCTTGTATTTTTCTTCAAGCAACTCCTGTTGTCTCCACAATGACCATCATTTTTTCTTTGTTTCTATTCCCACAGCACTAGCTATCGCCGCATGCGTTCTGCTCTACCTCTTTCATGGGACCCATTACAACCAGCTGAAGTAAGTGTCAGACGGTTTACACTTGTGCTTTTAGTACTCTGTTCAATACCTGGGTAGCTTATTGCTTCAGTTACCGTGATATATGAGGTAGTGGGATCCTCGGGAATACTTCCGCCTGATTGGCCCAAACAAGTAATGGGGCATGGTAATGGGGTGTCGGAGATCTTTCAGCAACCTTTTAAGTAGTCTGTTGTACAACATTACGTAGTTCCCTTTGGCTTCGGCCCCCCCCTGCCAAGGTATTTTTTGACACAGGTACGTGCCCTCGAAAGCACACATTTGCATAACAAATACAAGTCAAGTGAGTAGTCAGTTCAGCTGCATGAGGTTCAGCATTAATGTTGGTGATAATGGTGATGATGATTATGGCGGTGAAATAGACAGTGGTGAAGAGAATTGTGAAATTGCGGGCAATAATGACCACAAACTCAATGATTGTGCTAATAATTCATTTTTTTCCTTCGCACGTAGGCCTTCAAGCAGGTGCCTGTGTAAGTTGAGGGAGGAGTTTTCGCAACGTCGTTTTATTTGATTTTTGGGTCAGACTTAAGAGATATGTACATTTTAGCGCACTATCATAATCTTGTAAAGGGAGCCATTTAAGTCAACAGGCTGTTGAATATATGAGCGTCCTTTGTCAGCACCTCTTTCACTTACTCATTAGTCTTACGGGAATCACCAAGGGCTATTCTGCATCAGAATGGTCCATTACATCTGGCGGTTCGTGGAAAAGAACCACATCACATGACAAAAGTGGTAGACTACTATATAGAGTCTACTTTTGACATTTTTCCGACAGAATCATCAAAGGTTGTTATTTGAAGGGGCCAAATTTTCGCCAACCACGTTACCATCAAGGAAGTTCGCTGTGTGCCGCGTTGTCACCACGCGCGCTTCTATTGGATAAGGGGTAGTTGTGACTTGATAAATAGATGCTTGATTAACGATTTGCGTCGACATCACCAGTTGCGCTTCCAAGGTCACGCGTTATACGTGATTAAACACCGCCCAACTAGATAATCCTCACTACCAAGGCTGGGCTGGAACAAATTAGTTGGTTGGTTGGATACGTCGTGGCAAAAATCAAAGGAATAGGTTATCATTCTGGTCATGTTTCGTGGGGATCCGCTATGGTAGCGGATGCCACATCTTACATAGTTGAATCAAGAAAGCGACGCGTTCATACAGTCCACCCAACGAAGTTTAAGTTCGTTTTCCTCGTTTCGCTTCAATTGCTCAACATTCTCCACCGATATTTGGGAGACGCTGAAAAAATACATTCGATCGTACCATGACTATTCCTGTGGGTTAGCTAAGCCAGAACCAGAAAATGAACCGTGTTGCCTGCTAGAGGTAACCAGATATTATTGAAGAGTGACAGTGTTAGCATAAGTTCAGATTCCTTCCACAGCACGGTGGTGCTGTCACCTCGGCTGGTGAAGAAACATTTTCAATCAAATTTTCGAGCTCAGTGAACGGGTCGACCATCAATTACGCATGAGTCAGAATTAGGGTTCCCCCTCCATCAACCCCTACAAAAACAGCTACTCAAATAGAAACAGCCGCTGAGGATCACAATTTGGGTGAAGCCTACTGTTAGCTTTGTTGCACAATCCCTTTGCTGCATGTACTTCTGTGATGTATGAAATGCCTGGTTGCAGGATAAACAGAGAGTTTATCGTAGCATTCCAAAAGTTGGTAAAAATGACTGGTGAAAGTGTGAGGATATCTACTTTCGGGACACAAAGCAATCATTAAAAGTGAATATATCAGTAGGACAGTGATTCCATATGTCCATAACCGGAGCTGAGGAACTTTCAGGGAAAACTATGAAGGGGAAAATGCCTCAGAGGTCTTTTGGTGTGACGTTTAAAGTAATTATGCCTCCAGAATAGATCTAAGTACCTCGCCTCTAAACTCTTAGCCATAATCAGCACACCTGCTCGCCGTTTTGATGGATAGACTCAGTTGTTTTAGCATCGGACATTCAATGAGCCATGATCATTAGGTCAGTAGGTCATTCTGAACTGAGCACTGTTTGAATATATTGACAACAAACCGAAGACAAGAACGCGGTACATCTAGCTTCCTCCGGTTTCAGCTGTCTTCCAGATGACTTCATGGGTGGCATGGTCTATCCATCAGTTGCCCTCAACATTCTGGCCTTCGTGTTTCTCTCACTCTTCTGGTGCTCGCGTCCATATCGAAATATCGACGAATGGTTTGGCATTTTGCTAAATGTGATAATATCATTATACCTATGGGTGCATTTCGCAGTGAGAAATGAGTACACGTACTCATTCCGAATGCAGGTTGTCCGACTCATGACTTTGACACTGGCCCATGTAAGTCAACTCGAATTTGTGCAGAATCACGCACTAAAAGAGGTATGTTATCGAAGTCACTAAACCTTCTGTTCAATAGTCTTAGATATTTTCACGCTGCATCCACTGACTCAGGCATTCCTATTCTTTCCTAAAGCCAAAGTTTCAGCTACCGATGGCGAATGGATAACATTCAGATAACCCGCAAACACGGGAGGTAAACAGGTGTATCGAATGAATTTTACGGGTTAAAGACCGTCTAAGAGAATGGAAGTTAACTAGAGTCATTCTTGATTTCCGAGAGTAATTTCATCACATCCTACCAAACGCCCCTGGATCTACTGACCGTGAACTCATAACTGATTAGCCGTTTCCGCATTACAGCCCGGGCTATCCGCACCAATGTACGTGATGTTTTCTTCAAAGGAAGTGAATAGAACAAACAACAGGTTCAAGAAGCCACGTCGACGCTCCTATTTGGTGCTACATTTTTAAGACGTGCAAACAGAAGAGTAATTGCACTTGGGGCTGGAATGATTCGAGTGGTAGAACAGCGCCTCAGTACCCATGCTTGTTGAGACATTTTCTTCCTCCTAATGAGTAAGCGCCTATCAAGTGTCACTACTTTCGAGTGACCATTTGACTCTTGGTCAGTCAGCCAATACCTCCTGTCATTTCCTAGAAGGAACTGGTGAAACTGACAACTCGCCAACTTTTACATCATTCAAAGATATATCGGACTTCTATCTGGCTCGGCGTTAACTTTGTGGATAGGTACTCAACTACTGGGGGGTTTTCCAAGTAAATCTGTAGACGTCTCCTCGTGAGAGGTCAATGGGAGACTTCAAAGTTGACTGGAATCTGAGATCTGAAAATCCAGAACTTGTCAGCTTCTCTTACCAATCTTCAGGCATTTATGCTTGATACAGGCCGTTTGAAATAGCTTTAGTTCTTACCATATTCCGTTTAATCAGTCTGCTAAGGAAATGACCGACTTTGCTAATAACTCGTTAGCAGTCTCCGTAAAAGTTACTTCCGCCGTTTTCGCTAAATACTATTATGCAGCAAAGACTTCTCCATAACTCCTTCTTGTTAATTTCAACAGGCCATCGTCTGTACAGTGTATCAATGTTTGATCAAACCGAGCATGGTGATGTGGTACTGGAGTTTAAGCAAAGCTGTCTATCAGTCCGTTCTGCCAAAATTAGCGCAAAGCAAAGTGAGTAGTGAGCGACCTAATTTCGCATTTCATTATAATTCATGTTATACTATTGGAATGTAACATAATAATGTAATATAAGATATACTGAACAGACTACCATATTATGATATGATATTATGATACCATATTATGATATTAAATGTATAACATCTAATATGGGCCACACTTTATCTTAATGTTTATTGCATTATTGTTTATTATATTATTATAGCATGTATATATATTATAAACGCCAAAAATGAAGGAATTTCTCGCTTCGTAGCCAAGAAGCATCGGGTGTATTCAGTGACACATGATAACACCAAGGTTGGTGGTAAAGTAAGTCCCGAATAAACCACAAAAGTGTGCTTTTTTGCAGTAAGCGAAAGTGAAAACCACAGCGGCATGACAAAATCGAAACCCAAGAAGCTGTTATCAGGCTCTTAGGTCAGTTTTGTACAACTAAAAAGACTGTACCCAACCAATAAATGCCCATGGCAATAAATTTACGAGCAAGCACACAAACCGCAAATAGAGATCATTTCCTTACTTGGAAAAGACACTAATTATGGATGGCTGGAATCCAAAGCAAATTTGCGGGACGAATGGTGCTTAGCCGCGAGAGACCCACCGTATTGCTTAACAACTACGAGTGATTTGCATATCACTGAAACTGATGTTGCGTGCGAAATTCCATGTATTGCTTCATTTTGATAGCTAACTTTTGGCTACTTGCAAGTAGTTGCCTGATTTCTGGAATTTGTTTTAACTTCCCCTCGTACGAATAGCTCTATTGGTTCAAGTATACCAGTCATTGTGAACCAAAAGTGAACTCAAAACAGAACTCAATTTTCGCTCTAGTAAGAGCTCATCATAAATGTGTTATTGATCAGGCTATAACTACATGCTCCGACCCTGGAACGTGTAAACTGAGCGGACAGTCACTAATCCACCAGTGCCTATAAGTCAACGCGTACGAGTAGGCGAACACGTAGAACCTCGCTATGTACACAGATTATGTAGACCGGATGATAATCTGGCTTTTCGTTGTAGACCATGGTGATATGAACGAATTGTCACACGTGTGTTCCAGTTTTTCCTGTCCTTTCCAGTGGATTTCCATTGTGCCACACACAAACTATCACACTATCTTGTGTCAGTGAGCGTCTTGGCAAAATTATTCGACTCATGAATCGTTTTAGTTCGTTTGAAACTCATTGTCACCAAGAAATCAAACGATAGGATGGCTGGTAATTCTGAAGTCCACGTTTGGCAGAAGATCTAACATAGTGTGAGCCGTTCGTCTCGAATCTCACCACTCCAATTGGGCTTAAACACCCAATCAGTCAGCACATGTTACCCAGGACAGTTGTGTACTGAAACGTACAGTAATATCCACTGGTCAGCACATAACTCCCATAATATCATGTTGTAAGCTAGGGAGCAAAAAATACCATTGTGTTCTCTACTGACCTTAAGGTAGTTGGCGAAGAGACATGGAATCTGACCAGGTGACGTGAGTGGGGAAGGTATGGCGGCTTCAATACGGGCGTCAATATTGCGTCCGACCCTCTTTCCTCTGATCTGCCCCATTAGAGTGATTAGAAGGTCAAATCTTAAGCAATCACAAAATGAAGGGTGTTATTCTGTACTGAGAAAAAGAGCGAAACAAATGGCAGAAATTAGTGGGTTTCGTACTGGTAAAACACATAGGAAACAAGTATCATCAGTTTAATTTGTCAAGGTTTGACTTTTTCGGGTCAGATTGGGACGAGCTTTAATATTCTTTGATTCTATCTCTATATAACCTTTGGTGTCTTTGGAGTTCTGTGACTATAAAGACAACCTTCTGACGGGTACGTACACTCCGATATTCTTCATTTTTTGAAATAAACTCTCCGATTATGCAGCAGAAATAGCGAAATATTTCACTTTTGATCAAAGCTGCTTTGAGTGGTGCGGATGATTTGAGGACCAGTCTACAGCTTGCAAAACCCCAAGGGACAAGGTGACCCAATCTCGAATAACTTAAAGTTTCCACTTAGATATCTTACGAAAATCATCATGACGTCGCAAAATAGTGGTAAGAAAATAGCAACATTTTCGTTTACAAACAATGGAAATTCGGGTTACAACACGGGCGTAGAACGAGCGCCTTGGCACTAGTTACGTGCACTTTCTCGATAGTGCTGCTGTTTGAAAGCTTGTGGACTAATCACGCCCCTGTAAAGCCATTGTGAGTGGCGCTGGATTTTTGCTGCTCCGTCTACGACAACTGAAAATTACCCTCCTCAGAACGAGTTGTAGCAGATGAAGGTTATTTCGTAAGGAATTTTAATGGAATATATATGTCGATTTTTCGGAGACCCAACATGGCTTCCAGTGAAACCTTGCGATGATGCTGACTATGGACCTTGCACACCAAACTGATGACCGTGTTCACAAGGTCATCAGCTGATGCCCCGCGCGCGCCATTTGAGACCAAATTTAGCCTTTAACCTGTCTAGCTGTTCTGACTTGTTGTTAGATTTGACCAGAGGACGGGTAGAAACAGACACCAATTTGTCTGATGCACGCACCACCAGAGATTTCACACAGTATCGCCCCGCATATATCGGATGTCCCGCAATGCACTGGTTGAGCCTGTTCATCTTCTTCAGCTGGAATAAACGCGTACCGTCCTCAGATGCTGTGTTGCAAGGGGGCAGTTAATCTGTTTCCGTTAGCAAAAGCCCTCCTCATCGGCTTAGATTTTGATGTCCACCAAAGCTCTCAGTTTTTCCTCGGACAGTTTGCTCGTACTCGCTGCTTGTTGGTATGGATTTCCTGGCATCAGTCATGGATAGGGATCTCTGCGACACCCAGTGGTCATTCGACTGTACCGGGCAAGTCGCACAATTAATACGACTGAGCATGGCTCATTTTGCATTTTGTCATGCTTTATCCACGCACTAGCTACTAGTACAGTAATAGTCTATGGAAAAGGATGGTTGAGCTTTCTCAGATCCATACTGCTGAGCTATGATACAGCACAGAAAATTATGGAGTGGTAGGTAAGCTTCTTCCTGACTTGCGAGAGCCTGAAGCGAAGCGAACCGTCAGGCATGCTCGTACTGTGGCGTGACAGGAATCAAGTTGTTTGCCCCAAAAGGAACGACATTCCTGAATTATGGTTCTTCACCGGTGGTTGATTGCCACGTGGTGCAGTTGGGTGAATTTGATCCCCATCAGGTTACGCGATACGAACGTTTGTGCTGAAATTTCGTATCGACCAGAAGCAGTTGGTGATCAGCACACAAATGAAGAAGTTGTTCTTCGTTGCTGTCTGTCTGACAAGCGCCGACTCTGAATTCAACGCCCAGATATGATTCCAGGGAGCTCAGACTTGGGCATTCATATCGCCCGTAAGGATCAAGGTATCGGCGCTACCTGCTTCACGAATGAGACCAGTCGCCAACAGAAAGGTTTCTTTCGTTCATGTTATTCTTACTTATATGGAGTTGACAAATGAAACACTTTTAGTCTCCAATTAGGTCATAAATGCCGACATATCAAATTTTCCCACCCAGACCTCCACATCGTATGTCATCTAAGAAACCACAACCGAGTACTCTGCACTTTGGACTTGTATCACCCCTTATTGATCTTTGCTGTTAGGCAGCGGTTACGCATTACAGAAGTTCCGTCATGTTCACGTAACTTCATGTCTTCATTAATTCCATCCTTCCATTCAACAGGATTGTTCTTCTTCCCAAAGCGAACATCGCCAGAGTACAGTGTCCAGCAAAAGATCTGGAGATCCAGCGACTCAGAGACCCAGTATTAGCTAAAGATATTGCCCGTACAAGATTTCCTCCGAATTTTGACCATCCTGTATTAGAATATTCATTCGAAAACTAACTGTAAGACATGCAGTTGCCTCTGGGAGCTAATTCACTCGACCCCGTGTATTAATAACTTTTAGTTTCTTTGAGGAAACCGTTCCCCGTTTTCATGTTGAGAATACCAATAAATTCGATGGACACATATCTATCGCAAAGTAATTGACACAAAATAAACACGTATTACAATCCCGGAAGGCTCTGTCACATGAAGAATTTAATCCCTATTCGGACTTAATACGTGGTTCTAGGCAGATCCATCGCGTGATTCACTGCCTAGCACTGTCTGAATGTCAGGTACCAAAAAACGGATGTCATGGATGTTGATTTTGAATTCAGCATGATTATTGATCAAAACATCTTTTACTTCGCAGTTAGTATACTGCCATCGATCAGAATTAGGCGACAACCAACAGTACCGTAGAACGCTGTTTTCATACACTGAATATCGTGCCGAATGCACCCTAAGGCACCGCGCATTCAGTTAGAGACTATCACAAAAAATCTAGTCAGTGGGTGCTAGCCTAGTGATTGCGCCCACCCCAGCTTTAACAGTAAATGAATGATAAATGTGCTGTCCGTTAATTCGCACAAAACAACCTACAAGTTGACGGAAGTCTTCCAATTTACACCGGCACTAGTCAAGTTTTTTCGTCTAATTGGTTGTCAACCCCCGGAGGTCGAGCTCAACACAAGTGTCGGTGTTGTGATAATACACGCAATGAACTGAGCGCGTTAAATCCATAAAGAAAGAGGTGTCATGCATAAAGTTACTGAGATAAAGGATGGTCCAACAGTAACAGAAAGACAAGCAATAAAACTAGATGAAATGAAAAGTGTGTGCGGTTTATAGGATGATTTTGAAATGTTTGCATCTAACCGGATTCAATATCGAGAACAGTAAAGGAAGGACAATGGAATGCGGCCTAATTTTTATGAAGGTTAGTCTGTAACATTTGACCCCTAAATTAGGGAACGGGTCACTGCCTTTCCTAATCAGCAAACAGGAGCCTAAAAAGGATGGAGGTCAACCTTGGAAACAGACAGGACATCACAACAAAACAAACGAGTCCGAAAGGATGGAAAATTCTGCTATTCCGTTCCTGCCACGCCCCAAATATCCTGAACTGGAA